ATCAATATTTATAAATTAATTTTAACAACGATTTGAGTATTCAATAAAAAAAATATATATATATTTACCTGTTAAATTTACAATAAGTTCATCTTTAGCTAAGTTTTTCATTGGTTTAAAAAAATTAAAAAGAGAACTTGTTCTCTTTGCCATTACAGTAAACTTTCCTGTGATCCATATTTTTGATAATGTGTTACAATTGAATTGTCAATATATGGTGCTTTTTTTTGTTCAATCATCGCAGTATCAGTTCATACTAATTTAAATTCAGATAGGCATTGCATTCTTTGATCTAAAAATTCTTCAGAATCAGAATCACTATCTTTTGAATAAAAATCATCTGAGCCGCTTAATTCAGGGATAAAATCATCATCGTTATCATTCTTATATCGTTTATTCAATTTAAATTTACCCGTTTTATCACGTTTTTGCTTCGCAACTCATTTTTTGGCTAATCTTGATGCATGTAATAATGGCATAATGAATGAGGATAAACTTTTTCAAAATTTATTAAAATTTATTTGAAAATGTGTAAATTTAAATGACAGCAAGCACTAAATTCACATTATACTGAGAAGAACAACTGGAATTCTGAAAACAAAGTTATATTCTGAGTTCATCATATTGATTTCAATCGAAATTTATCTTTTTTTTAAGAGTGTTATACAAATTAGCATATTCTCAATTTCAGCGCTCATAATTAAATTAGTGTAGCTTTATTATGTAAAAACTTTGTTCATCATGCATAAAATTTAAAATCTAACTGTAAAAATGATTAGATTTTGATTCAAATTTTCTAATTTATCTGTTAAAATTTTTATATCTTTATTATTGATGAAGTTATATATGTTTAAAGGTTGAAAATTCTTATTATAAGGATGTTCCTATTATAGAGGTTCTGCATGTAATAAGTTTAAAAAAAAATTTTTCTGGTTGATTCTCATATTAAGGTAATTGCATAAAGAAATAAACATACTTTAAGCATATATGAATTTAAACTGGTAAATTGGATATTTATTAAAATAATACAATTTTTACTATAAATTTTATTTAATAATTAGGAAAATCAATTTAAAGCAATTTGCAATGTCAAGGCTATCAGATAGAAAATCAGTTTTCCTATTTCAAAAAATATATAGATTATCATAAATCTTAGGATTCAATTTATAATATATATCATTAAGCAATGACTATGAAACTTATATAATCATATGTGAAAACCTATCCTAATGCCTTAATTAAAGGATACTTTACTTAAGTTAAAGAATAACAAAACCTGCTTTATCAGATAAAATATGAACAAATATTTATTTATCTTCAAGCAATTATTAATTATTAAAAAGTTATAAGAATTAACAATCCTCTTTTAAAAAATGCTGCTAAAAGAGTGTTTTCCCTGATTTGATTTATGAGACATTATCCTATCTATTGTTTAATCAAAATTACTAATGAAGTGTAATTAATGTAACTTTATCCGAAAGTTTGTGAGGTCATAGAAAAATATAACATAATATTTATATCAGAAATTTATAAGTAGTATTAAGGATTAGATACAATTATAGAAGAAGTAAATAAGGCATTAAAGACTCTAATACCTCTTATCTCATAACACTTTATTGGATAATTGCAGCTTATAATTATAAAAAATAAGTTTTTAATTAATAATTTTTTATATTGATTTATTGCTTTTTTCATAGTTTACAAATTTTTAATACATAATACATTTAGCTTAGAAACAATTTATTCAAATCAATTAGATATAATGACTTTTCAATACTAGAACTGAGAACTTAATCAGAATCAACTATGAAATGTCAAAGATTCTGAATTTATTTGAGAAGTTATGAATTTATCAATTCGATAAATACAAGAATACTCTATCAAAGCCTAGGAGATGAATATGAATTAAGCGAATAATTAAAAAATTTTACTAATTTAGTAAAGCAAGCTTAATAAAATTATATTACTGAAGTATTTACTAATAAAAATACATCTTCTTTATTTAAATGAATCCCAATTATAAAATAAGAAACAATTGCATAAGACAATGAGAAAAATATGATTAAATTAGAAATATTATTAAAGATAGAAATCCTTTTTGAATAATTATGTGAAAATACTCAGAAAAAGTATTCTAGATTAAAGTTAAAAAAGTAACAAATTACTAATTATTTTATAGGAAATTAAATACTTATTTAACTCAGATAGTGAATTTAATAACCAAAATTATTTAGAAACTTTATAAATAAATCCTAAAATCTGAAAAAGTAAATTTATTATTTATATCTATAATTCTTTATAAATAAACAAATTTAAAAATATAGTTTTTAAATATTAAATAAAGCATATACTTTTACAAGTCTTTTTAATTTTTTATCAATTACAGATGGGACTTTAGAGATATAGTGTGCTTTTTAGGTTTTTTTAAACATGCTTTTGGTGAAGTAGGTTTTGAAGTAATTTTTAACTTCAGGTTTAGTCTAAGAATAGAGATTCATATTAACATATTAAAATGTAATAAGATATAAAAAATATTTTCTTTCAAAAAAGCTTTACTTAGTATTTTTTCATATTCATTTTAACATTTTAAACAAATTTTTACTTTATTTTATATACAGTCAACTCTTGTTATAACGAACTCTATATCCTAGATCTCAACTTCACTATAAGGCTATAGTGAAGATTTTAAGAGATTTTATTGGCCAATTCACTATAACAAGAGTATTTTTATTATATTTGT